CATTTATTCTTTGTAGCTAATAATTCTACAAAATTTAATCTTTAATGAGACTATTCATAGATAAATAAAAAGCTCATTTTATGTTTCCTAGCATATTATTTACTGAAAGATACTATATTTACTGTGGCTACATATCCTATACTTCATTAATTAGGAGTATACGGAATATAAGCAGAAGCTTATTTTTAAAATATATGTGTAAACTATAGCCACATTTAATTTAGAAGTAAACTAAAATTGCCTGGAGCTCAGTTTTAGCTATGCTATAATGGTAATGTCCAAATATTTCTTTCATTTTAAGGTAAACTATCAACTTGCTATGTATAATAAACAAGGCCATTCCCTCAATACACACTACTTTTTAACAACACACAGCACTGTGCCCCAGAGCTCAACATACAGTTAACTACTCTCTTCCCTGTACACCTCCTACGCCCCTCCCCGCTACTCTCAACCACACTCCTTAAACATAAAACATATTCTGGTCATAGTCCATCCTGTCACCACAAACTCCCATAACAAAGCCACCAAGAATACTAAAAAAACTGGGGGGGGGGGGACATTTAAAAAACCTCTCTTAAATACTAGAAATACAGAATCTTTCTGAAAGACAAAAATAGGTGCTTCAAAATGAAGTGTGATATGAAAACAAACAGAAGATAACAGGCACAGCACAGCCTGTTCTGTATGCTGCCTAGAAAAGAGCCACACCTGAGAAATGTGATCTCCCCATGTTGACTCTAGACATGAAGACTCCCTTTATTTTTGCATAGTTTCAACGGGGTGAGCATTTCATGACCAGGCTGAGAAAAGACTATGAAACATTTTTGCTTGTACTCAATTTTATTTTGGGATTACCTAGTTCTTTAATAACGATGATGAGATGTATTTAGGAAAATAGACCTAAGATCATTTTTGAGCCAGCAGCTCAGCAGACACCATGTTAAGTAAGCAACTGCAGGTCTTGGGCGTGGGGCTCACTGGAAGCATCAGGGGTGTTACACTGATGTTCTTTGGAAAAATCGAATGAGTGACTATGGCAATAAATCTAATGACAGCTGTGTAAACAGACTTGATTCCACACAACAGGAAGAAAAAAAAACATCCAGAAATGTTATAATCGAGCTTAATGGTGGAGAGGACTAAGATTAGGTTAAATGTTTACATTTATATAATCAAACTGGAGAACACTGAAAGTTATAATCAAAATCATCATATAAATAATTTAAAAACTTAAGCCATAAGTAGACTAAAATATCTGAATAATCCTTTGGGGGTTTATGTCATAAGCAGGCAACATACTTCACTTAAACTTAAGTAGATGCCTGAGCTTTGAGTGACCGAGAAAGTCTGAGGAACATCAAATACTAAAAAGAGAATCAGGGTCTAGGAAACTAAACACCGAATGAATCACCAATTTATCAATGCTTTGGTAAAGGACAGAGGTAGAGAATAAGTCAGAGCCTCTTCTGTCAACAACAATCATTTAAGAAATGCAACCCCAGCTAGGCGATGGCACTGCTGGCAAAGGTGCTTGCAGCCGGGTGACCTGATATCCAGGACCACCACGCTAGAAGGACCAACTCCTGTAATTTCTTCTGACTTCAGCAAATAGAATGGATACTTTTCAGATCCTTGTTCATAATACAATGATTATTCTTATCATTACAGGATCTAACTGTTGAAATTTGGCTAAACTTTCCCCTTTTTTCATGGGAGCGAACTTCTCCTGGTCAGTTTGTCTATAGCTCACTTATAAATCTCTAACACTTTCGCAGCTCCTGTCCCCTCCAGGTCTTTCTATCTCCCCCTTCTTCCATCAGATTCCCTGCACTCTGCCCGAAGTTTGGCTATGAGTCTTAGCATCTGCCTCGATACCCTGCTGGGTAGAGTCCAACACAGCCAAAAATTCTGGGCCGAGGGGATCCTGTAGAGACTGATGAAACAACCAAGGACCATGCATGGAGAGGACCTAAACCCCCTACTCTGATGTAGCCCATGGGCAGTTCAGTCTCCATGGAGGTTCTCTAGTAAAGGGAGCAGGGACAGTCACTGGCATGAACTTGGTTGCCTGCTCTTTGATCACCTTTACCTTAGCCCACAGAGAAGAGGATCCAGACAGTCCTGAAGAGACCTGATAGGCCAGGGTCAGATAGTAGGAGAGGAGGACCTCCCCTATCAGTGGACTAGGGGAGGGACATAGAGGTGGAAGAGAAAGGGAGGGTGAGACCGGGAGGAGATCAGGTAGGGGTTACAGCCAGGATACAAAGTGAATGAATTGTAATTAATAATAGTAATTGAAAATAATAATAAAAAATAAAAATTAAAATTAAATCTCTAATACTGCACTTTCTTCCTACTGTCCTTTTATTTCTAATTCGGAAATCCCTACATCTTCTATGTACAGTCACAAGATTTAATATCTGTATTTTGTAGATGAAGTATTTTTGAATATGTCTTTAAATTTTTCCTATTTAAACTGTACACCTTAGCAATTTTGAGTGCCATGAATAAAAATGTTTTAACAAATCTCAGAACAGCAATGAAGGGTCTGGAAAGAATCTATAATGGTAAACAACGAAGTTAAGGCAAATTGTTCTGGGAAATGATTAAAAGGAATGATCAGTCCATCTTTCTGCATTATTGCCATATATCCAAAACTTGGCTTTTCATTACTGATGTTCCCTTGAAGAAGGATAAACACAAATAGATAAAACATAGCAACAAAAGACTTTCTAAGGGAACTGTTCTAAGATGAAAAACATTGATCTTTCAGGTCATAAATTTTCTATCACTGATGTTAAAATGAAAGACTAGTATAAAACACAAAGTGAGAACAGAGACAGCAGAAAAGTATACTTTCTAGCTTATAAATCCACATCCAGAATTCATGAAATTTATAGCTAACACCATGAACCATGTACACCAGTTGTCCAAACACTCTGAAGAGTGACCTAAGTGGCGGAAGGGTCAGCGTTTATGTATTTAAACTCCCATTCCTTGGTCGCATTACCCATATTCAAGTGCTCTAGTCACAAGGAAGTGCATGAGACCACACAGTGCTGTTTCTAGCTGCTACAAAACAAACTTTTCCTACTACTTTTTGTTTTGAGTACATTTTCCTAGTACAAATGAGGAGGTACTAACTTATTTCCTCTTGTAATTAACTTTTATTGTTATCTTAAAACTTATACACATCACTGCTGTAAATAAAATGGGTGTCTTGCTAAATAATGCTATTTTTCTTTGTCCTATAATTATTTCAGTGTTATTATATAACCCGCTATCACAATCAAATAAGACACAAACACCTGTTAGATTTATAGTTGCCTTATTTACTGTGTGCTGGGCAGATATTCTACCTACACTGTCTCAATAACCTCAACATCCATCTCCCAGTCCAACACCATCCGCCTTAACCATTTCTATTTGGCCTACCTTCCATCCATAATCCCAAAATACTTGCTTTTATTTTTCATCTTGGTGCTTTCTCCATCCATGCAATCCTTGGAATCCTTCCTCCTGGTCCACATGGTTCCTTCTCCATGCTAACCCATCCTAGCTCCTCCTGCCTTTCTATCTGTTTTCCATGATTCTCTTGTTCCCAAAGCCTGGGAATCTTAGACACACCTACACCATTCTGCTCTGCCCAGGTTTTAGGCCTTCTAACCAACAATCAGTTACCATGTGGCCACCATCCACAGCACAGGGAAGCATGTGCCCAGCACTCCCCAGGGATTTCCTTCCTGCCTCTTTGCTACCCACCTCAATTTTTAGGAACCCTGAAAACCTATGCATTTCAGCTGCTTCACTCTATTGACTTCAGGCCTTTCTCTTGTATTGCACAACTGATCTATGAGATTCATCCACATGATTGCTTATATTATTAGACATTTCTTTTTTATTGTTGTATTACTTAAAATTCTACAAATACCTGTAAATATATATATCTATTCTGCTGAGAGTAACTTAGGTCACTTCTAATTTAGAGCTATTACAAATAAAGCTGGAATTAAGAATAATAATTTATTACTTAAATATTAAAATAAATGTACAATATATGTGATTTCTTTCCCTTCATTATATTGATGATTTTGCATGTAACAAACATAATAATGTTAGACAGTTAAAACCAGCAACATAGCTTAAACAGAAGACATATCATGTATATTGTAATTATTATACATGCTAAGTACACACACAGTAAACTCATACACACAAGTAACAACAAACTTTAACCAAATGGATAATATAATTTGACTCCACTTATTATCACATTTTAGTATCTGCTCTGTGTCTAATAACATTAAGAGATTAAGATAAAAATCCCAAAACAATAAAAGTGTTGTTACCCTAACAATATCCCAAGACAAAGCATAAAAAAAATGACATATTCTTAAAAATTTTTATCTACAGGGGGCTTTGAAAAAGGCTCATCAGTATTAACATCAACATTGTTTACAAACTCACTAAATTTAAGCACATAAAAATCTCTATTCTTTTATAAAGTTAGTAATAACTTATTGCCCTAATATTAATATCCCCAAATTCATGTTAAGATAAAGCTTGCTAGGTATGAAACTTGGAAATGATAGCTAATTTTTCTAAATATGCTAAATGGGAGTTCTTTGATGCAGGAAAAAAAATATACAGATAAATAGGGAAGTCTTTATGACAACATAATAGCAATGTTATTTCTATCTTGCCATGTTATTTTCCTTTAAATATGCTAAAATATACAAAAATTACTTTATTGTTAATGATCCTATATTTTATTGTAAAGGCAGATTATTAATGATCCTATAAAGGCAGAGTGACAAGGTGCATTAAAGTTCCTTCTCAGATTCATTCAATAAAAACATATGTGCACGGACTATAAACTAGGTCTTCAAAAAACTGCTTTTGTGGAACGAATGCTTAGTTTATAAAGAACCATAAGGCTCTCCATTCACACAAGGTAAAACGAAGCAGACAAAGTTGCTCAGTCTTGCTGTCCTTACCTCCCATTCCCGGGCTGCTGCCTCACCACTGGGATCCTCATTTGTTTCAGACTCTTCGATCTTTTTGACTACTATAAATCCAGGCTCTCTGGTATATTCACCAGTATCTTCTGCATATATTTCTGGACTCCACTGAATGAAGAAGGCATACAAGTGGTCTGTCCTGTTAGAACAAATGACTGTTAATAGGCCTAGTATTACATGCTATTAGCTAAAGTGAGAGACGTTTGTGAAATGTCTTGATAGAAGTTAAAGACTTTCAAAATACACTAAAGTCCATTATCAGGTGGACATTATCTTTAAAAACTGACTTGGCTATGACTTGTCAAAGGCTAAAAAAAGCTGTACTAACAATACTTTTGGAAGATTTTTACCTATAGAAAATGCAGAGCAATGCTTTCCTCTGGAAAGATACTAGCAGTGGGAAGAAAGTCAATGTGTAGCATTGGAATTGATAGCAGCAATACACAATGATTTCTTGCTTCAGGGATTCAGATCTTTTACAAACCTGCTTCCCCTTTCTTGTATTTTGATAACTGTAGTAAACCATATTGGTTGCTACACTCTTCAATAAACATACTTAAAATTCAAACACACATTGAAAACACATGTGTGTACTGGCTTTAATTATTTGGATAATTGAATCACAAGAACTCCCAGCTAACATGTAACAAACAATAGCAATGGTTCTAGGACTTATGCATTCATCTCCTGATCTAAAATGCTATGATACCTGACATATCAAAAGAGGATTAAGTTTTACTTTCTATCTCTCCTTTCTTTTATAATTAGGCAATTAATCACTATCAGCAATTCTCTTAAATTTTCTATCTATGGTAAAGTTCAAAATTCCAGTAATATTAACATTAATAAGAGCCAAGGCATAGCTTCTTTATATTTTCAATGAAATTTCTAATGTGGGTGGTGGTGGTGGTGGTGGTGGTGGTGGGAAAGTATTGGTTTCAACCAAGGAGAACCAACAACCTCTTCCCAACTAAGGCTGGAACTAAGAACATTAAGAACCAAATTCCATGTAAAGATTAAAAAAATAATAAAAACGAAGCAAACTAAATCTTTGTTAGATTTAACTCCAATGTTATACCTTTCATTATAATCATTTTAATATCACTGGCTTATTCATTTGGCTCTATTTCTTTCAAGTTGTGAATTATACATATGAAACTATTTTCATTACTAAAATGCTCAATGTCCGCAGTCGTTAGGAAAATGCAAATCAAAACGATCCTGAGATTTCACTTTACACCCATCAGAATGGCTAAGATCAAAAACTCAAGTGACAATACACGCTGGAGAGGATGTGGAGAAAGGGGAACCTCCTACATTGCTGGTGGGAATGTAAACTTGTACAATCACTTTGGAAATCAATCTGGCGCTTTTCTCAGACAATTATGAATAGCACTACCTCAAGATCCAGCTATACTACTCCTAGGCATATATCTAAAATATACTCAAGTATACAACAAGGATATTTTCTCAATCATGTTCGTAGCAGCTTTATTCATAACAGCCAGAATCTAGAAACAATCCAGATGTCCTCAACTGAGGAATGGATACAGAAATTGTGGTACATTTAGACAATGGAATACTACTCAGCAATTAAAAACAAGGGAATCATGAAATTTGCAGGCAAATGGTGGGAACTAGAAAATATCATCCTGAGTGAGCCATCCCAGAAGCAGAAGGACACACATTGTATATATTCACTTATAAGTGGATATTAGACACATAATATAGGATAAACATACTAAAATCTGTACACCTAAAGAAGCTAAGAAAGAAGGAGGACCCTGGGTAAGATGATCAATCCTCACTCAGAAAGGCAAATGGGATGGACATAGGAAGAGGGGGAAAAAAAGGGAACAGGACAGGAGCCTACTACAGAGGGCCTCTGAAAGACTCTACCCAGCAGGGTTATCAAAGAAGATGTTGAGACTACAAACTTTGAGCAGAGTACAGGGAATCTTATGAAAGAAGTGGGAGAAAGACTTGGAGAGGACAGGAGTGTCACAAGGAGACCAACAGAACCAAGATATCTGGGCCTAGAGGTCTTTTCTGAGACTGATACTCCAACCAAGGACCATGCATGGAGATAACCTAGAACTCCTGAAGTTCAGTATCCAAGTGGGTTTCCTAGTAAGGGGAGTAGGGACTGTCTCTAACATGAACTCAGGGGCTGGCTCTTTGATCACCTCCCCCTGAGGAGGGAGCAGCCTTACAAGGCCACAGAGGAAGAGGAAGACAATGCAGCCAATCCTGAGAAGACCTGATAGGCTAGGGTCAGATGGAAGGAGAGGAGGACCTAACCTATCAGTGGACTTGGAGAGGGGCATGGAGGAGATGACAGAGGGAGGGTACAGCGGGGATACAAAGTGAATAAACTGTAATTTATATAAATAAATAAATTATAAAAATAGAATCTTGTAAGTAAATATATATTTTGAAGCTTATATGTTACCTTTCTTGTGGCACTGCAAACCAATATTCATGTTTCTTATCTCTCTGTGCATATTGTTGCATTGTGGCACTTGCTTGAGATACAAATGTTTTCCTCATCGGTTTTCCAACTCTTAGACATAAGAATTTATGTAATCGATGCCTTCTCTTTTCTTTTAACAGTGAAGAGCCTAGAAGTGATATGCAAACAGTAGCCATTCAGTTCTCACAGAACATACTGAAGTAGCTTAAATGAAGCAATTTTACATCCTAGTTTCTCAATGTAAAATAATACATCTTACTGGTACATGGGCACACTTATTTAACTACCTGTACTTTTTTTGCATGGAATATATAGTTACTGAAACAGCAAGATTAAATGAAAGAGCCAACTTAGTGAGTTAAATTTTGTCGAGGGCTATTAGGAAAAAATTCAAAGCTCAGAGACTCTTCAATAAATTGTGAATAATAGCTTTGCTAAACTGCATATACATGTAAAATGGTCTGTATATTCTTTATTAGTCTTTAAAAATCACATCTCAGTAAGTATCTAAATGGCTATTTTAATACACCTATTCAAATAAAAAATTTAATGAAATCTCTAGTCTTTTCATACATATAAACCAAGGCGTGAGAAATCAACAATATACTACTAGCTGCAATGCAATGTTTGGACAGTTAATTATATCTAAGGCACCTCCAACCAGAGACATAAATTATTTGGAGTTGGACAGCATGATTACATCCAGGAACAAGGACATTAGCAGCACCTCTTGGAGGACAGTGCACTTGGCGAGAGATTCCCTGCTAACAGTCATGTCCCCCACCCCATCTCCATGGCTCTAGCATTAATAACTGGCTAAAAGAAGGGATGCTTGCCATTCTTTCCATCACTGCATCCTACAGTTTAATATTTACTATAGTGTTTTTCCAGCTTTGTAGTAATAAAGTACTTTAATAACTATTGTTATTAAAACTGGTCATTTAAAATTAATAGTTGCTTTATTAAAAAGAAGAAACCATGACCCAGACAAAGGTATCTGAAACTATCTACTAATTTTTCTTTTTTCAGTATTTGGTTATAATAATCTATTATATATTAATTCTCATAACTATAAAATAGCTTACCACATTAGTCATGATCAGAAACCACTTTGTTAAAAAGTGGTTTCAAAGGTGTCAAAAAAAAAAATCAGACAAATATCATGTACAAAGATCACCATGCCAACATTACTTATATCAAAGGGAATGATTGCCTTAACAATATGAATTGTTAAAAACAACAGATACATGGTTAGATAAATTATAGGAGCAATAAAACCACATTTTGAAAACACTATAATGAACATGTAACAGTGTACAGCACACAAATGTTAAGCAAAAGAAGGCAGGAAATAGCACTATATATAGGCACAATCTTGAATTTACATTAAAATCTGGATGTAAATATAAATGCAAATATTAGTCAAAACCAAAAGTGCCTTTCAAGGATCAGCAAGAATGATAATACTTGATCATCCTTGTGATAAATTCCAGGTAATTTTAAAAATTGTTTTAATTTCCCATATTTGACAATGTTTCCTAGTAAGTATTCATTGTGTTCTGAATAAAGGAAATATAGCATAGAAGACATAGTTCACCCATGACAGAAACTGCTTTCAGTAAGTGCATTCTTTAATAATTATTGAGTATAATCTTAGGTTTTCATATTATCTCAGTTGGATGACACAAAGAAATTCAGTATTTTAAGACTGAAAGTTGCAGTTCATGCTTAAAACGCCAGTGTTTTGAAGACAGAAGGAGGATCAAGGCCTGTCTTCCTGGGACAGGAGAGACCTTGTCTGAAAACATTAATATTTCTTAGGCTTTTTGAAACAGACAAGACTGGCCTCACAACTAAGGGAATGTTCTGGCCCTGGCCTCTGCCAACAGGTACTGGAACTGCTGGCAATTCCAAGTATTTGCATCATCACTGATGGAGCCAGACCTTTCTGAATTTCTGAGAGAGATGAAAATGATACACAGCAACTGTAGAAAACAAGTGGATCCTCTGAAAAGGAAGCCGTTATGATGTGATCTAGCATTTCCTATTTTTGCATGCCCTCCCCCCCCAAATCCTGGAAAGACGGACTCAAGTAAATATTTGTACAAAATCTGTTCACAGAAGTATGATTTAAAATACTATACAGATGACTGAATTTTCTTTGCATCACCCAGATGCCTTCATACTGCTGGCAAATAAAATGACATATTATATGCAGAAATGTTAATTCTTTAGCCTTAAAAAAGACAGGAAATTCTGTCTTCATGTCTTAGGCATGAAGCTAAGTGAAACATGCGACTCAGAACTGTGTAGGTTCGACTTATGTGAAGTGCCTGGCGGGAAGAAAGACACAGAACACATCGGTGATGACCAGGACAAGGGAAAGTGGCAGATTATTGCTCAGTCAAGTACTGTTTTCCTTTGAGAAGATGATAAAATGGTAAATTTTATATGTCCATTTTATCACAATAAAGTCAAAATAGTAAATTTTACTTTTTTTAAAAGTATTTCAGTAAAATTAAAACTTTAAATTAGAAAAGTAAAAAAGCTCATGTATAAAACTGAATTAATGAGCAATTCCTCAAAGGAATTGAGAGAATGTCTCCACGTTATTTAAGCCATAGCTACTTAAGCCATAATGCATTAAGCAAAAGCACACTATATTAGAAACTATTATAATTCTCATATTACTAGAAAGTAAACTAAGACAGAAGTGGTAACTTTTACCAAGTGTTTGTTTTTAAAAGAAACCATTTAATTAGATGAGGACATACAAAAATTATACAAGTAGATTTTTATGTCCAACAGTGTTTCCTAAAATAAAGTACTTGATTAAAACCTTGGCAGTTATTAACTGCAATTCAGATATTATGTATGCAATAATAAAAATCATACCAAGACATTAAAAAGAAAATGAACCAATCAGCGTATTATGCAGTGTGGGTGATACTGTTCCTAACATGAACTTTATAGCGACCGCAGTGAGACAGGAGTGCTTACAGACGGCAGAAAAAACACCAGAGACCAGGCACTGCATAGCAAGCTCCCAGAGTAACGCCGAGAACCATTTGATTCTCACTGGGACTGAGGGGAAAGAAAGCAACATGCAATAAAATAACAACTTTACTGCGCCCCTAACACCTACCGTCTGTCTGTCCATCCGCAGGGGCACTTTCGTTTTTATTCTCCCTCTGTGACACCTGCTGAATAGTGTCTCTCTGCTGCTTAGCTTGCTGCATAGAGTGAGATTTCCAGAGTTTGCGCAGCTCTTCCACTTCTGTCTCTGAGTCCCGTTTCTGCTCTGACCCTCGTTTACTCTTCTGAACACTTTGCTTTTCTTTAAGTTCCACCGTTCCTCTAGAAGACACATTTTCCTTCCCGCCATCCTGTGGGAGTGAATTTTCATGATGGAAAGAATCCTGGTCATGGTGACCTTTTACATTTGGGCCTTGTTCTTCAGGGTCTGAGGCTTCTTGCAGTTTTTCTGTAGCCTTGTCTCCTTCCTTGGTGGCTATTTCCAGAATACTTAAATCAGTTTCATGAGATAAAGCCCCAACTTCATTTGAAGAATGTCCAGTATTTGACTTAATGTGGTCAGGAATAGTAGCAGACTCTGACGTGGCTGTCGAGGATTCTACTTCAATCTGACTGACAGTTTGCACAGACTCAGAGGATGCGTCAGATGATTTATCTTGTCGCAGCTCTGAAGAGAGGAGCTCCTCGCGGATAGGGGAGAGTTCAGACTCTGTGAAGACGTCTTCAGAGAGAGACTCCTCGGTACTCCTGGGAGCAGTGCTGGCACTGTCATTACCAGGATCACGGACCCTCGAGTCCATTTCGTCAGCACTGACTCCTTTCATTTTCTTTGAATGGCAGAAGCCCCTTCCTGACAACGGATCTATTTCTCTGTTATTAAATAAAATAAAAATTATTAGACATTAAAAACAGTAACATTACCTTCCACAACCAAATAATAAATAGTGTCACAGAAGAGGCTTTTCAAAAAAGGCAAAGTTTAGCTCTCAACAGAATACAGGAATACCATGTTTTTTATATATACCACGAAATTGCATCACGACTGTTCATCAGCTGTTTAGTATTTGGGAAACATCAATGTAAGAGTTCCTTGTAAGTACACTACAACAAAGTCTGATGACACAAGTTCTTGATGAAATTGTAATAGTGAACTAAAACATTCATTGGTAAAATAAGAACAGAATATTTCAGTCTATCACACACACAGGCAGTGCTTATTTGTATGCAAACAGATTAAACTAAAATGCATAGATAAGGAAAAGGTTAAAACCAACCTGCAGCAAAACAGTTACACAGTATCTTTATGCTAACAACTCAGAACAGTTCTAAGAGAATCTGTTCAGTGGACCTAAGATGTTAGACTCTGGCTGTTTTACACCTGGCTCTCACTTCCACCTTTACTGGCATTGGTTTAGGTAAACACCAATGTTCACAAGATGTAAGTTCTAGAAATAAACATCATTTAAAGTTAGCAATTTAGAATGACAGTTAAAGTTGCTTCATAATAAACAGAAATTCTTGAAGTCTCAGTGGCAAAGTATCAATATTGTGCTAATATATGCTTTATATGCTAATATATGCTAACATGTGGCTAAAGAACAAAAATATACCAAATAGAAAGACTAAAAATAAGACAAGATTAGTGGCCTTCTATGGACATTAAAGCAGAATAAGCCTCCTATTTAGCTTTTTTGTGGTCTTCAAGTTTTTGTACAAAATACATATTTTTTTTTCTAAGTGATATGTGTAAAAATGTATTTAGCTTAAAGATTTAGTTGAACTGTCTTCTGTTTCTGTACTGGATTCATCTTTAAAGAAATAAAAGCATCTAATTGGTGATATTGAATATGCAATGGTGCCATCTATTGGTGATTCGTTTAAACTGCAGCCACAGGGTCAAGGAAGTGGGCACAAACTTTGGGGGATTTCATCTATAAATGTAATATAATCAAGAGACTAGCTGCTAAGAGATTTAAAAACACACAAACAGAAGAAACTAACAGGTGAATTTCCTAGCTTGAGATTTAATATTCTGAGGCTAAACACCAATGCTAATGGTACTGTATTACTCAACACAGTTCAAATAGTACCTTGGAAACCCATTAACATCTTTACCTAACTTTTGGGAAACAAAACATTACTTGCAAAGCCATTCGCTGCATTTATCTTGTTTGCAGACAAATTCCGATTCCAATTAACATACAAACCAAGACTTCAGGCTATTTCCTTCCGGTGACATTGTTTAAAATGCTTGGACCCAGGTTCCCATCCTCCCAGGTCACATGCTAAATGATAACCACTTAACAGGCAAGGAGCACTAGACGTTCCTTGCAGAGCAGCACAAAACAGAACTAAGCAGCTTTCCTCTTTCCCTCTGAAGCGAGTCCTCCAGTCTGCGGCTCATCTCCACACATCAGCTCAGTAATTGGGGCTTGGTATTTTCTTTTGTTTATTTTGTTTTCCTGAAATTGGCTTTGACTGACAACTTAAAAATGTATCTAGTTGCTTAAGAGTATTTTTTTTTTTAGATTGGAGTCATTTTAATTGAAAACAATGCATAGATACAACACACACACACTAAATAAATTCAGCCTCCTCACTCCGCATAACGTTACTTATAATCATGTTTTTTGGGTTGATCATTTGGTAGACTTAAGAGTACTTTTTATCCTAGAAATTATTTATGTTTCTAAAGATTATTTTATAAAGCCAGAACAGTATCTGTCACTAGAGGCTGAAATGGACTCTTTTCCACGAAGGTGTTTTACCCTATCGCAGGCATCCTCGTAGCTCACATACTATACCTGAGAAAAAATAACTTGCTCCTTTTCCATTGTAACTCCCCCCCCCCCCCACCAAGGCCTAATTTTTAAACTGGAGTAAGACTGTAAATTATTTGTTTTCAAGTTAAGATTAAACCTATTGTTTTAAACAGTTGTCAGTCATGTATGGAGTGGGAGGGAGGCTCTTTTCTGTTACACGCCATTGTCTCTGTTCTATCTTTTCTTTCTCAGTCTTTTATACCTCTGCTCATTCCTCTGGTCATGCATATCACTTTAGAGGCTTAGCATGACACTGGAGTCTCCTATCTATGCTATGCTATCACACAAACTCCCACACCTCCACTCCCAAAGTCAACTCTTCATTAGTGCAGCCTGGAGGTTTCTCACTTTCATATTTTACACTTTATGCATCCAGAAGTGCAACTGTAAATGTAAACGTGCTACTACGGCGATGCCAGGTCTTTATCCATGGCACACTCAAACCCCACATGCTGCTCTGTATGTACCTGCATGGTACTTGACAGTCACTATCTTTGCTAATAATACAGAGTGTGTAAAATTTTTGATTTTGTGTCTAAATAACAAAGGTCTGATAACCACTAAATTACATGAATACTTCAGGTTACTTGTCAAATATCTGATTCTTTGACCAAATGAATACAAATCTAACAAAATTACTAACTATATACTTGGCACACTAAGAATGAACTATTCAATAGTGCTTAAATTTGTGTTTCATTAATGACAATGAAGAGCAGTTGCAATAAAAATAATAAAATAAGAACATTAGAAAAGGGTCAATATATAGATGCAAAAATAAAAAAGAAAAGAAAAGCTGCGATGAATTGCACATTAACACACTTACGTGGGCAATGATTCCTTTATTTTGCTATCCAAAATTTCTTTGTACATGGCAGCTGACATCACCTCTTCCATTGGACACATGATGCCATAGTCCTCACAGCCATTCTCTTGAACCAAGGGGTCTGTTTTATGTGGATCAAACATTATATTATTTGGAGTGACTAGCAGGACGCCACTGACTGTGCCCTAAGGTGGAAAAAAAAAGTATCATTCAATCTTCAATGTTCATAATTTCAGAACAGATTTGAGATACCTCTGCTACACTTTTATCTGATTTCTGGCCATCTACTTTATACATGGTAAAGTCAGACACTGTGTGCTCTCATGAAAACTTGCTTTTCTAGTAAACTTTCATCCTCAGCTGACAGAGAATGCAAAAAATACCATGTTCTCCCTAAAAAAAAAAAAAAAAAAAAAAAAAAATTCATGTAGGAATTAAGTTTTACAAAGTAAAATAGTGGCTAGATTATGAAGAAAACACACTGCATGAAGCCTCGTTTTGCGGGAATCTGCCTATCACCTCTCGTGTTCTTCTCCCAATACAAGTACCAAATATGAGCATTGTGTAAGCCTGTTCAAATTGTGTACAAATGGTTGATTCATTATTAGTGGTAAAGGAATAATTTCATAGAAATATTGTTTGAAAAAAGAACTATTTTTGCTTGAAGCTATGGGACCTTCAGTATGCAAAGTTTCAGGGCACATTTAAAAAAAGTCTTTAAAGTTGGCAGATTAGTTAAAACTCATATTGAATTGTAACTATTCTTTTCATTCACCATTAAAGACTATGAATTTTAACTGAGTTTATATAAACAGTGATATAAATCTTAAGAGTCTACTCTCTTTATACATCAGTGTACAGACAGTGGACAGCATTGCTGTGAATACTTACTGCTTCATGTATAGCATACTCTGTAAACTGCTAACCTGATGCTCACTACCCGAGCTCTAAAATAAGACACAAGTTCTATTTGACAATGTGGAAACAAAGGGTGGGATAAGTGGGCAATTTGTCCAAAAAAACAAAACAACAGGATGCAAAGTCTGGGTAGTACGTTCTTTCACCACACTCCTTAGTGTCCAAGTCAGAAAATATATACATTCCAAATCAAGTGTGAAACATCCCTTACTCTTGTTCCAAGCTATATTTAATGCAAAAAAAGTAAAAAGACTGACAAATTTCTGAAAATTAAGCAATAATTTAAAGTCATCTTGCTTTTTCCTTAAGTGTCAGGGAAAGAGAAAAACAGGTACCCTGCTTGATTTGTTATCACACCATTTTTCAAGTCCAAGCACAGGTACAGTCAACTTAAAAAAAAATGCAAAGTAACTTATGACCAACGCTGCCTTCTACAGGACTACGCAGAGTCAGTTTGACGGACTCCCGATGAAATCTCCTGAATGAGAGAGAAGTGACTAGCAGACAGTATAGGCACAAAAGACTTAGAGTAAACCTGTGTAACACCACAATAAGAAGTACATATGTGGACATTTTGGTGGCAGAGATGTTCTAAGAGAGTTCAAACAGCACTTTAGGAGTATTATTCACTGTGTGCAGGTGAGTGCTTCCATGCATATATTACACGTGAGCATATGTGCTAGAACACGTGCAAGGAGCATTCTGCTCCCAAGGGTCTTTACCCACTGGGCCATCTCCAAGGCCCCTAGTCAGCACTTCTTTTAGTTCAGACAATGAATGTCCCAAAGAGGAGTAACTTTATATACACTTTAGCCTATTTGGCCTTTGAGCAGCATTTTCATTTGCAGCAATTTATATTGCTAAAACACATACCAACCTAAGCCATCGTTTCTTGGGTTTTGTGTTTGTCTATTTTTGGAACTAGTGAAGAACGAATCTAGAGCATCATGCATTCAGAGCAAGTATTCTCCCACTGAACTACAATCCCGGCCCTTAGCAGATACACTTCATAACATCAACATATCCCATACTACGTTTTAGAGAACTTTCAGGAGATAATTCTAAGTAGCTACAAATGAACAAGAGGTTCAGTGCAGTGAGAATGCTTCGAGTTCTGTGTACACATTAGTGCAACCAAAGGGTTTTCAAGTTACTTCTATTTTCAGGAGTAAACTAGGTGACGCCTCCCCCACTGGGTTTGGTCTGCTTTAACTCTGTAGGAATCTACTCTGGGACCAAGCAGTGCAGAGGGACACCCTTTAAACTTCTTTCCTCGTGGTTATGTTTACGAACATTTCAAGAATTTACAATTTCAAGCTCTTTGGACTAAAAGTTTAAAACCATTCACTACTCATAAAAACACACTTTATAAAGAAAGGATAGAAGGGATAAGCCATATTAACACTTCTCAAAAGAAGTCCAGTATCCACCATGGTGGAATTCAGGGCAAAGATTCCCAAGATTAATGTGAGTTTTTCATGATGAGTCAATTCCTCAAGACAACATAAAAATTATAAACATTTCTACATAGAATAGCACTTTGAAAAACATGAATTATAAACTGCTAGAACTGAAAGCAAAAAACTACTTTTTGCAATAAGATAGTTCCACATTACTGTCAATAATTTACAAAAAGAAAGGAAGGAAGGAAGGAAGGAAGGAAGGAAGGAAGGAAGGAAGGAAGGAAGGAAGGAAGGA